CCCCCCCCCCCTCCCGCATCCTTCACTCCTCCACTTCCTCCCATAGTCACCCCACTTCACCCCTCTTCTACCCCAGAAGAGGAGAGCAGTGCAACAGGAAGTCAAGCGGAGTCGAAGAACGATCGAAGAAAAAAGGCAGATAATGGTAAGAGAGGAAAGGGAGCGGAGAACAAACAGGTGAAGGTGGAGGGAAAGGAGGAGGAGAGAATGATATCGAATGAGAAAAAGCAAAAAGGACGAAAGGTGAAAAAGGATGGGAAGATCTTTTACATTTGTACTCCTCTCCCGAGATCGCCACCCTCCCAATCCTCCCCTACTCACATAAGACGAAGATGCTAATGATGATAATGCTGATGATAATGGTGATGTCCCCTTGGATGTCCCTTGATCTGCAACTGTTGATGAACGCCCACGTGAGCTGCTTGTCAATCACTGACAGAAGCCAACACCGCCAACTCTCCGTTAGAGTTGCTCCCCCGCTCCTACTTACTAATCAAAATAGGGCAAGTGAACAACCTCTAATGAAGAATCTTCCCCCCAAACGGAAAAGTTTTCCCCCTCTCTCTGCGTACTAGCCTGTAGTACCACTGAATCGAGGCACAAAGCTGGAAATAGTTAGCACCCATCAAATCGGTGGACAAGTCTTCTCTCCCGGTTGCGTTCTTGAAGTGATGGAGAAGCGATTCGCCCATTCATCCGGTTGCCTGCTCCCACGCTCTCACATGCGGACACGCATACACCCGCTCGCCGTGCTAGCATGGCACTAGTGCACGCGCGTCGGCGCACGTGGTGTACACTAGCGCACGAGCTCACGCTCACAGCAGCGCATGTGGCAAACGCCAGTGCACGTGTGCGTGTGCGTGGCAGCGAGGCAGCACGACGGCGCCCTGGCACCCGGGCGACCGGCGCCATTGTGACTACTAGGGCAACTATTCCACGATCTCTTCTATTCGTGGGCAGGTTTTCAGAACTTCTCGACTGTCCCAGGGTCTTCAGATTTTCAGCAATTGTTCATGTATACCGGGCTTTCGCAAAGAATAACTGCTACAGAAAAAATCATGAACAGTTGCTGAAAATTTGAGGATCGATCCAGTGGCCTAGCTCAGTTGGTTAGGCACGCAAGTGGCATTCAGGAGGTTGTGGGTTCAAGCCCCATGACCGCCTGCGGCGCACTTAGTGCCAACGAACTGGGATAGTCCTCTGGATACTCCTGATCCGTATTAGTGGAATCTATGACCAACATGGGTGTGAGTGCGAGTGCTAGTGGGTTGTGTGTGGTGTGTGGGAGAGTGTTGGCCATAGCCACTGCTGCTACTCGATGAGGGGTGGGGGACGATGAAAAAGGGAGGCGCAGCTACT